ACAAAATATTTGATTTAGTACTGCATTTTTCTTTTCATTTATGAAACTCTTCCAGATTTGGCTAAGCAATTTTAATGTACCCTACTGGGTTTTGTAAATCATGAAATGATGAGGTAAATGTGAAAATGTGATGGTAAGGACATTAAACAGATTACTGCTGAAGAAAAGATTCTCCACATATGGCTGATATTTCAGGCTTTGCAGTCTGACTTAGGGAAATCATTAACCGACGGTGGTCTTCCTAGGATGCTTCTGATAGGTCCAGTGGGACCAGCTTTTACAGAAGCTTTCCTTATAGATCTGTGAGTCTTGGGTGCACTGTTTAATTCCCCCCTTCCTCCCATTTCCTCTAACAATTATAGGAATCCCCAGGGACCCTGTGATGTTGTTAAGGAATTCAGTTTTCACCTCACTCCATACCTAATTACTATAATCATTTATATTTACCATCCTTGGTCATAAAGCAAAAAAATGAACACAGATCTGTTTCTTCTATTTTATAACTGTTCTTTGTGAAAACTGCTCATTTGACATTTTCTTCCTCCTTCTTTGTGAAAACTGCTCATTTGACATTTTCTTCCTCCTTCTTTACTAGAAGCATTGCGCCATTTTATTGTATTTAACTGAAATATGTTATACCTTCTGTGATAAAGTAATGACAACCAAACCACATATTTTATCAAAATCTGAATTTAATTACAGAATCTATCAAGTCTAAGAAGGGATGAACCTTTGCATTTTACCAGGATATCTATGATGAAAAAAAAATAAAAAAGAAAATCTGTCTGCAGACTCAGAGAAACATTATTATATAGCATTATCTGACAGAAAATTCTGATAACCTGTCAAATTAAAAAGCTGATTTGAGGAAATTTATTGAAACCACTTTTTAAGAAGAGACTTACTGCAAACTCTTGTTTGGGCAGTAGCCAGCCTCTTTAAATAAAAATGATTGAAGGATAGAAAATTTTGTAATCTTTTAAAGCTTTTTTTTTTTTTCATTGAACTTATATCAGTTCCAACAGAAGATGACCTAACAAAATATGAGGGGAAAGTACACTGCTATTTTTATTACCACCAACCTTTTACATGATCTGTGAAATGACATTGATAAAGGGGCCTAATCTCACACAGGAACATAGGAATTATCATATATGAGCAAGCAGTGGTCAGTACCGAATGCTTCAGAGGAAGATGAAAGAAACCAGTAATGGACAATTGTGGAATCACATGCCCATCAAGGAAATTTCATCCTTAACTCCATCAGTTAGTTGTTGGCTTATTGTAATTGTAAGGATGTTCCCGGTATCCCTATAAATATCCAGTCTTTTCTGAATTCTTTTAAGCTCTTGGCCTCCTGAATCCCACTGGGCTCCTGATATTTTGTGGCAGTTAGTTAATGGGTTAATTATGGACTATTTAAAAAACTCTTTCTTTTTCTCCTTTTTAAATGTTTCAGTTCCTATGAATGTTCTCCTGATCTTGTATTATGAGAAAAGTCTAACAAGGAGTATTCAATTTACTTCTTTATATCATTTATTCTATTATATAGCCCTATAATATCCACTCATTTCCACTTCCTTGCTAACCTAAGTGGTACCAGTTGTTTCAGTCACTCCTCATAGGGAATTTTCTCCATGTCTTTAATAAATGTTGTCACCCATTTCTTAACCCCTTCTATTTCTGCTATAATTTTTTTGAGGTAAGGCAACAAGAACTGAACACAGTATTCCAGGTGAGAGTGTGCCACTGATTTATATAATAGTTTTATAATATTTTCAGTATTGTTTTTATCCCATTCTTTATGCATTCTAAGATCGTGTCTGCTTTTTTGACCATTACTGCGCACTGATAGGAGGTTTTCACTTTGGTCTTTGTCCGTTACAGTTAATTTAGATCCCAACAGTAGTAATTATCCCACCAATGTGAATTACATTCCATGCATCAACTATGATTTCCACCTGCTATTGTGATGCCTATTCACCTATCTTTACAGGTCCCTGTGGTGTCTTCTCCAGTATACACTAACCTAAATTTGTGTAATCTATAACTATTGCCATCTCACTGTTCCATCCCTTTTCAATATTAGTAATAAATATATTGTTTATGGTATAAATCAGCATAGCTCCATTGCAGTGAATGGATTTACACAAATGATTTAAACCAGCTGAGAATCTGTCCCTGTGCTTTCAGACTCTTAGCCAGTTTATGATCTATGAAAAAACTTTACCTTTCCCCCCATGGCACCTTGCTTTCTGCCTGAATAGCTTCTTGCGAGGGACTTTAACAAAGGGCTTTGTGAAAGTCAAAATAAATTATATTCACTGGTTCTCCTTTATCCCTTTTATCAATCTACAATAGATTCAGCAATAATGGGAGTTACCTGTGGAAGGTCCCAGGTATAAAAGTGAGATTAATAGAATCCCAGGAAAGCTGACTTCTTGAACGTGTGAATTCATTACAGCACTTTGATGAGTTTTGCCTCTGAAGTATCGCAGGATTAACCTCTATTGGGTAAACCAAAGAACTACAGAACCATGGACCAGATGCCTCCTAGATCCAAGTAGAGAGATGACATTCCCTTTTGCACACAAATGTTTTCCCCATATTGTGCATTTTACCTTCTCTGTTTCCCTAGGTGGAGGGTTCTTGGGAGTTCATCATGTCTCCTGCCCTCTCTGCATAATGGTAATTCCCTGGGAAGAACTGGAGTTTAACAAGCAGGCCTAGTTTCCCTGGTTTCACATTAGTTTTCAGAGCCTAAGTGACAAAGGGCATAGGAACAATGGATGCTCCATCTGATGTGTGTGTGTGTGTGGGGGGGAATTATGCCTACCTTACAGTGGCCACAAGTTTGGGAATGGGCAGTAAGACCCTTTATATCTGAGGCCTCCTCCTGGTTTCTCCAGCTCAGTGGCTGTTTTCCTTTGGACTGTGCTTCTTCTGCGGCCTTGCTCCCCACAAGCAATGGGGCGCTACTCCTCTAAATTTGTGAGTTCAGCCAGCAATTGTAACAGCTGGTTCTTCAGCATCCACTGTGTCCACCACTGGGTTTAATTCATCAAGAAGTCTGACTGTCTGTGGAAATGTTAAAGCCTTTGAATCACTACTGTCTTAAAGCAGCAAAGGAGAGGATAAGAAGAAAGATGAGGTGGATATGCTCTCCCAGCCACATAGGGAAACTGTCTAAGAGGGAAACGGAAATGGGGAGAAGGAAGGTAAGCTATGTGTGTCCCACTGGCCAAAGAAAAAACAGTGGGACCTCCCTCACATCTCACTTGGGATCAAATTGGACACCCTGGCAGCCCTATGCTGTCTTAACATGGAGAAAACTCTGAAGCTCCATGAGCTGATGGTAATAGCTCTAGGTGTATGCAAGATTATCCTGGAGCAGCTGCAGTCATTGAGTAGGCATCCACATTTCATGTCATCATCCCATGTTGGGCATTCTGAACCTGTGTGGAGGCAGTCACAACAGATGGTGAAATATGTTTCCCACTCAGGCTACCCAGGGAAATAAAGGATGAATTGCAAGATTGGGAATGGTTCTGAAGGAGATGAATGATCGTTCTTGGCAATCAGAATGGATCCTAGCAACAGACATTCAAGTCTATTCAGATGTGGTGGTGGGATTTTGGATTGGGAGTATATTTCCAAGGACAGTGGTGTGCAAAGTAATGGCCACTGCATGGGCTGGTTTGGGACATACACACATACACACACACACACACACAATATGCTTTTCTCTATGATATAATATCACTATTCTAAAGTTTGTTGCTATGCTAGTGTGTTGAACATATTGGCACACAGACCTTGGGCACACACTGCTATGTGGACCCATCTTTTGTATAGATTTTCTACACCATTTTTGTTTTAAATATGAACATTTTCCCAGATTTGATCCACAAGAGACTGTTCACCTATGCAAATTTCTATTCCTGAGGTATAAAACTGAAAGGATCCTCTCAAATGCAAAGGAAAAAATGTTGAATCAAGTATAACAAATTCATTCTTAGCACAAGGAATGCATTTGATATCCTCTGTAATTAAAATATAAATCCATAAAGAAGGGGACAGTCTTTTTTTCTTTATTTTAAAAGATAAAAAAGTCTACCATTTATTTGTAGCTAAAAAGATTAACTAGTAAATATGCTAAGCAAACTAGCTTTCATTTACATCTCTGGCTTTCTGCCTTTGATTTACTAATACAAACACTCACAAAAATTGTCGACAGATAATGTGCAGATTTGCAAATTACCACTAGTGGCTCAATAGTCATTTTAAATAAGAAACATGTTGTATATCTGAAAAACTGATGCCTTTAAAAACGAATAATATTAATGGCAGACATTCTTCTTCAAGGCATAGCATTTGAATACTAAATTCAGGCCTGATCCTGGAAACCCTTTCTTCTTATGAGTGACATTAATGGGGCCACTCATGTAAGTAAAGCTTTTGTAGGATTGAATACATATATTGTATTTAACTAAATGCACTTTAAATTGATTACTTGTGTATGCAGCTAAGAACTGATGTATTTTCTTCTCTTTCTAGATCTGTTGTAATACTTCTGTTGATTTCATAAGTTTCAAAGCACTATAAAAACCTGATGTTATTAAAAAACCACAGACAACATTTTCTTCAATACAAATTTTCCCATAATCATTTTTTGGGGGCTTACCATGTTGCTTTTGTCAAAGCCTTTTCTATGTCTAAGTACAATGATCCAATAAAGATTAAAACAAATTTAAAAAGGAACTTGCCTATTTTGTGCCTTGACATTTACATTTCTCCATTTTCACTGATGTTTTTAAATTTGACAAAAGATAGGAAATGCCATCATCACAAACTGCAAGATGTTCATGACTCTTTGACTACCCAATTAACAATAGAGCATCTTGAAGGAGTCAATATTTTATGAATACAGCAGCAAAGCAAATAACATTTCCAAATACTCCCCCACCCCCTCTTCCACAAATGTTTGTTTACTTTCTTACCTGCCGGGTAACGTTCTATAACTGGCCAGCTGTCCACCTGTAATGTGGCATTGCCACCACTTCTTGTAAAACGTACTACATGGTATTTTCCATCATTAATGATTGCGTTGATCTCTTCGATAGAGATGTCATCAGTTCCAACATTAAACTTAACTCCAATTTTTCCCTGGTGCTGTTTAAAAAAAAAAAAAAAAAAAAAAAAGGAAGAGGAGGAGGAAGAAGAAGAAGAAGAAGTACTAATTAAGAGTTGTTTTAGTGAAAATTAGAGAGTGTGTTGTACTGGGAAAGATTCCTAACAACAGCTTCTCTCCTCAGATTTAACTTCTGAAGGCTTGCATGGGATAGTGACAAAACTCCTGACAGTTCATTGAGCTGGGATATCTCTTTCATAGATAATTGATATTCCAAATCAGTTACTTTCACAAACTGAGTTTGCTCCTTTTCCCAGTGGGTCTCACCAAGAAAAAAAATTAAAAAGCTCAAGTAAATTTCTTCCCTATGTTCCCCAATCTTCTTGATGAGCACCAGATACCTTCCTTTATTTAATAGGCTTTAAAAATAGAAAAGTCAGCACTAGCTCGTCTTTCATCAGCAAGAAGAATAAGGATTTCTTTCAGCTTGAAAAACTGGGACGCATTTTCACAATCCCTTTCTCACAAACCTAACCTATACTCACAAAAACAGTCCTGAGGAAGTCAATGGGACTAGTCGAATGAGCATGGATGACTGATGTGAGTAAGGATTTTCAGAATTAGACCCATAGAGGGATGGAGTTTATTTGTAATGCAAGAGAAGTGTCTGTCACTTTAAATAGACATAGGCTCAGATCCTGCAATCGGATCCACACAAATGCAGAATCAGGGCCATAGTTATTTCAGTGATAGTTGAGGGAACTCCACATTTCACAGGAATAAACCTAATACCTTGCATTTCCTTTCACAGGCAAAAACCTGGGCGGGGGGGCGGGAAGGGGGGAGAGAACTTTCAGAAGAATTTTCAGGAAAATCTAGAAATATTTAAAATATTTAAAATTTCTTAGCCTCATTTTCTGTGTTAGAAATATTCTAAGCTTATATCAATACCATAATATATTCTAATAATTAAGAAGGCATCTGTAATGGGGTATTTATAGCTTAATGAAGTATTTCAGTGTGCTCATTAAAAACAGTGACTAAGGAAGTTATGTTTTTTTTTCTACAAAAGGCAGGAGATATACTTCATTTGTGAATAATGACTGTTATTAAACTGAGGTGAAAAGAAAATATTGAACAGTGTGGTATCAGAGGCATATGCAGAGTTAATAATAATTCTATAAATGGTTTCATAACTTGTGAAAATGACTTTTTTATTTCAAAAGTTATTTTTAATTTTTTTATTAGATTTATTCCAAGAAACTCACTTCACTTCACAGCCTGTATCTCTAACTCCTTCACCCTCTTGATATTTCCAAAAAGAGGCTCTGTCCTTCCAATGCAGCTTTGATCTCTGCCCTCTCTGTGTATTACTCCCCTAGACCCACAGGCTGCAGAAGTGATGTCAAATAACTCCTTTGTCCCTCACCTCCTCATCTTTTGAAGTCCAGTCCTTTCTGGCTCCACTCCTTCCTCAGCTGCTGACAGCTCCCATCCCTTTGCCTGGCTCTTTCTTGCTCTTCTATCAGTCTTCTACTCTCAACGGAAGTGACTTAAATTTTCCACGTTTCTGCCCCACTCTCCTCCCACAGATTAACTATCTCAGCTCCTCCAGATACACTGCTGATGCCTTTAGAGAATGCCCCATAATTCCTCAATGACTTCCTCTGTGTTATGTTTCTATTCTCTCTTCTCTCAGCTCTGCTCTCTTCTTTTCAAAGCAACTTTAAGTTGAAGGGGCCCTTCTCCAAACTTATTCCTTTTCGTCTGCTGCCTCACTGCTCATTCTCTCCTCCTCCACCTGCTCTAGCCTTGACTGTACTCCTCTTGTTCTTTTCTTATCTTGCTGACCACTCCTTCAATGTTTCTTTGGAGGCTTATCTTCCTCCTCCTCCACTTTCCATCCCTTTTGGTGTCCCTCAGGCTTCGGTCTTGTCCCCAAATTTATCTTTTTTCCCTTGTGACAGTTACAGAAAACTAGTGATCTCCCAGTCATGTGCAGAAGACTACCAAATCCAAAAAGCAACTGTCATTCCACCATATATCCAAGTGCCAGAGCTGAATTGGCTGAGAAAATGTGTAAGATTTCCACTGTTTCCTACCATTAAAGCAGTAATTTGTGTGCTTCACGTGTCTTATTCATCCACTTATCCTGCTATTGATATTCAACAGAAATATAAGATTGCCATAATTCTCTAGCAATCACCACTTTCACTAAGTGATGAAATACAGAACTTTTTAATGCATATGACTACATTGTATATGTATTTTTTCAAAGAGTTTTTTCAAGAAATCAAAGGCTTTGACATTAATGAAGCAGACTCCATTTTTATGGTGAATCATAATTACAGTACTCATATACCCCATTTCGTCTACTTGCTTTCTCTATTTTCTCTATATATTTATACACAAAAATGACAAACAAATCACCTTTAAGTGAATGGGACAAGTATAAGCATGGGATGTTTAGCATGTGCAGTGGCTGGTTACTTGTTACTGTGATGTCATTTTAAATTGGTCATGGCACAATTTCCATATATTAACACACCAAACAATCTTTTTATAAACTCAAAAGACAGAACCCTTGGCCATATATGATGTATACATATCTATATATGAAAAACATGTGTTTGCCCATTTTACGTCCATATGAATGTCGATAGTATACACAGCATGTCAGCTAAGTACACAACATTAATCAATATGGAACATTCACCTCAAACTTCATGATCAGGCATATGGTTTATTATTGTTGATTAGAACCCGATATAGGTTGCAATTTATGCTGTTATCAAGACAAAGTCATCCCACCTTTAATATGGTAAAATGGTACAGAAAGGCATTAAAAACTTGATATCAAAGGGAACTATTTCATGGATTTTGCCATGGGAAGCTCTATTATCATTAGTGGAAGTTATGAGACTAAAACACAATGTAACTCTTTTGGAAATGTGGGGAAAATATTTAGAGCTGGTTAGGAATTTGTTGACTAATTGTTTTTTCTTCCAAAAAAGCTGATTCATCAAAACTGAAACCACTCACTAAACAGGGCTGGAGGGTTCAATGAATTTCCCAACTCAAAAAAGTCAAGAAAAAGTTTCAGAATTGTCAGAACATTTGTTTTGAAAACATTGAAGCATAATATTCCATTTTTCCAGTTTGAAATGAACTTTCATTTGGAATTTCAAGCTAATTAGACTGAAAAAAAAATTTAAATCAGAACTAAATTTTTCAAAATTATAAAATGAAATGTTTTAACCTGAAATGAATAAAAATCAGTTTCTTGGTTTGCGAATATTTTAGAAATTTTGACTTTTTATCCCAATTCAAGACAGGAAAAAATGTTGAACTCAAAAATATTCACAGGATGAGAAAAACATTTAGATATGGTGTGGTTTTGCTGCAAGTATTCCCTTATTATACCTGTATTTAAAATTGACTTTTGATCATTATGTCACACATGTTATCATCTAAGCACTGGTCTACACTAGATAATTAGGTCAGTTTAACTGTCAGTGAAGGGTTTGAAAAACTACCTACACCAACAGCAGAACCCCTCCCAGCTGCTTAGGTAGTGTCAACACTGAAGCTCTACAGCTGTGCCACTGCTACTTTCCTTACTATGCATCAGCAATGGTGTAAAACAGATATGAAGATGGAGGTATGGTGAGAAATTCCTTTTCAGATACTATGGTGATGAGCACTATAAGACTGCCTTTCAATTGTTAAGTATGTGAGTAAATCAGGGGTGCGCAAATTACAGCCCGGGGGCCGCATCCGGCCCTACAGACATTTTAACCCAGCCCTTGAGCTCCTGCTGGGTAGCAGGGTCCAGGGCTTGCCCCGCTCCAGCCGGGTAGCGGGGTCGGGGGCTTGCCCCACTCCGCACGTGCTGTGGCTCCACGTGGCTCCTGGAAGCAGGGGCATGTCCCCCCTTCAGCTCCTACATGTAGGGGCGGCCAGGGGGCTCTGCACGCTGTCCCTGCCCCAAGCGCTGCCTCCGCAGCTCCCATTGGCCAGGAACTGCAGTCAATGGGAGGGGCAGGGGCAGCACCTGCAGACCGGGCAGTGTGCAGAGCCGCCTGGCTCCCCCTCTGCATAGGAGCCGTAGGGGGGACATGCTGCTGCTTCCGGGAGCTGCTTGAAGTAAGCGCCACCCAGAGCCTGCACCCTAGACCCCCTCCTGTGCCCCAACCCCCTCCCCCAGCCCTGATACCCCTCCCGCCCTCTGAACCCCTCGGTCCCAGCCTGGAGCACCCTTCTACACCCCAACCCCTCATCTTCAGCCCCACCCCAGAGCCCGCACCTCTAGCCAGAGCCGCGCCCCACCGCACCCCAAGTCCCAGCCCCAGCCTCAGCCTGGAGTCCCCTCCCGCACCCTGAACAACTCATTTCTGGCCCCACCCCAGCGCCTGCACCCCCAGCCGGAGCCCTCAACCCCCTCGCATTCCCCAATCCCCAATTTCGTGAGCATTCATGGCCCGCCATACAATTTCCATACCCAGATGTGGCCCTCCGGCCAAAAAGTTTGCCCACCCCTGGAGTAAATCAATATTAGTGTTGAATGATTATCCTTTGTACTGGTATTGCCAGAGAGCAATGAGGACTAATTAAAGGATGAAGCTCACCTAGACAGGAATAGGCAGGGCTTGTATAAAGCCAAATAGCTGAGAATGGGGGAGGGGCTGCAATGCTGAGGTCTGCAGTCACTCTCTCTGAGGTAGAGAGAGAAGAGAGTTTGACCTGGAGGGAATGAAACACCTGGAGGAGGGTGGAGAAGAAGCCTGATAGAGTCAATGTAGGAAGCAGTCCAGGAAACAGCAGCAAGGTATGGGATAGTGTAGACCTTAATCACTGGTTGCAGGGTCCCTGGGATGGAACCTGGAGAAAAGGGCAGACCCTGGTTCCCCTGCCAGCCACTGAGGAAGTGGCACCATTGATGGGGAGTGTATGGGAAGACTTCCTGGGACAACTATGTACAGAGAGACTTTGGTACACAAACCCCTAGAAGGGGAAAACTAGAGTGACCTGACCGGAGGGC